GTAGTATTTATCGAGAAGCAATCAACAAACAATTAAAACAATTATTCTGCAAAAAATTCCAAAAAAATAAAATTTCGGCAGCTCCTGGTTTCGTTAACTGTAGTGGAGTAAAAACAAAACAATTAATAAATGCTGGAGGAGGTGGAGGAGGAGGAGGAATTGTTAATAATAATAATATTTATCCAAAGAAATAAAATAATAATTATTTTTTAATGAATGTTTATTTATTTAAAAGAAGAGAAAGTTTCTTTTTTAATTTTTATCTTTCCCTTTTCATTCCGTGTTTAATTTAATTTACAATTTGTTTTAATTTACAACTAAACCTTTGAAATAAAATAAAAAATAAAATTTTTTGTTTCAAATACAAAAATTAGCAAAAAGGTGTGAGGAAATTGCTTAATATTTTATTTGAAACAAATTTTTTACACTTGATTAAGCAAAATTTTTTGCGTTTTTTTCATTTAATTTCCAGATTCTTAGAAAGGGATATCTTTGATTTTATATTAAAAATTAAACATTTCTGAATATATTTTTTGATTTTACATACTAAACTTCAAAGGTTAAATCAAAATCCGATTTTATAAACATTTTCTTTTCTTTAAATACCGATATTTTTATATATTTTAATGAATTAATTTTTTTCAAACAATAATTAATTAATTATTTTTATTTTAATTGGCAAAAAATATTTTTGTTTCGAAAAAATTTTATTTAACATTTATTTATTAAAAAATAATATTAAAAACAATTTTAGTTTATTAAATTTATTTAATAAAAATTTTTACCTTTTGTTTTTAAAAATTTTAATATTTTATTTAATTTATTTAAATTTAATAAAAATTTTTTTATTTAGAAATGGCTGCTTGTATTAATAAATATTTTTTATTTTATTACCTTTTAATTGTTTTTATATAAAAAATATAAGTTTTTAATTAAATTAAAAAAAGGATTTTTTTATTTTACAATAATTACAACGTCAGTAGTTGGTGAACAAAAAAAAATAATTTTTTTTTTTAATATTTTAAGAATTAATCGTCCTCTATAAATAGAATAAACAGGTGCCCTAACTATTCAAAAAAGTTCATTCTTAGTTTTATTTGAACAGTTTTATATTTAATAGCCTCTATTAATTTTTTTAACAAATTTATCCAAATTTATGAACATATTTAATATATATTTTATTTAAGAATTTCCTTTCATTTTTGTTAAAAATTATTTAAATTAAAATGCAAGAGAGAAATGAATCTTTAATTAATTCTACAATTAATAATAATTTTCCAAATCATATGGTAATTTTTAGAAATTAATAAAAAAAATTGGAGGGAAAGGATTATAACAAAAAGAACTAAAAATATTTTTCAATTCAAAAAATAGTTTAACTATTTATTTCTTCAAGTTATACTCAGAATACAAAAATTCTGGTCCAAGTTCATTATTAATTGTTCCCTCAGTGATTATGTGTGTTGAGGGAGTACCTGGAATTGCTGCTAATTTTCTTTTAATTTATGTTACAATTCAAAACAAGTATTTCTTGAATTTTTTGGAATAATTAAAAAATAAATATTTAGAAACATGAGAGGGCCAACAAATTATTTATTGGCTTTAACTGCTTTTTTCGAAATTCTTCATCAGTCAGGACATTTTCTTTTTCTAGTTGTTGCTGTTAGTGGAATTAATTTAATTGACTATTCTACAGCTTTAATATTCCAATTACATTCAATTTTTGGGGTAACAGCAGCACAGACATCCATGGCTTCAACAGCCGCTGACAGACTTTTATCCGTTCTAATCCCATTAAAATACAATAAAATAGATATTCGTCTTTACCTTTCAATCCACACATTATTAGCTATTTCTAGTGGAATTTGGATGTCAATAAATGCTATTAACTTATCAAATAAATACCCAACACTTCCCGTTACTGGACATATTGGGGATTTGTGTGTTTATGAAATGAATATTATGTTTCAATTCATAATGCTTTTATGCGGAATTACTTCTATATTATATATTTTTGTTTGGATTGCTTACCGTTTCCTTAGTAAAGGTATATTAAAATCAGAAAATATATACATTAATTGAAAATCATGTGTTTGCCATTTTTTAAAATCTTTTAAAAAATTAAACTTTCAGAGAAACGCCTTGTCAAACCTTCCCTCTGTATTGTCCCAATTTTTTTTATAAATTTATTCCTATTTTAGCCAATAATGTGACTCAATCAGACAGCCAATCACGTCTCCTAAAATCACTAATTTTTATCGTTTCAATCGTTATTGGTGGTTATGTAATGTGTTCTATATCTCATTTAGTTATTAATCAATTTTTCAATTTAAATGATATCCAAGTAAAATTTTAAAAAATTTAAATTAAAAAATAATTTTTTTATTTTTAGCAATGGTTAGTTGGGGTATTTGGAAGTATTCTTTTAAATATTGGAGCTTCCTCAGAGACCCCTACACTTTATATTTTTAGGTAAATTTTTGAATATTAAAAATATATTTTTTTAATTAATTTTTAGTAGTATTTATCGAGAAGCTATTAAAAAACAATTATTTTGCAAAAAAACTCAAAATAATGTAATTTCTGTCGTCCCTGGTTTAGTCAACAGAGGAACACAATTGGCAAACAGAAATGGAAGAATTGTCACTAATAATAGTTTATGTAATATTAGCAATCCAAAAATATAAATAATTATCGAAAAAACATTTGACAATTTAATGGATTTCTTTTTTGTGATAAAGTTTTAGAAAATAAAATTTTGTTTTTGAAATAAAACTCTGAAAAAACTATTCAATTAAAATTAAAGTCTATCCCGGCAACCCTTATCAAGTTTTTGTTAAGAGCTTTATTTAGATGAAAATCGGGAAAGAAAATAAAAATGTGAGCGATACTTTTACATTTTATTTTTAAATTTTAAACCTTCGCCAAAAACAGCATGTACTTGGTACAAAATAGGAGCAAAATTAAAATTTCTAAGCCTACAACTAATTTTCATTATACATATTCCCCTAAATATTTATTTTGTTAGGCATAAAGTTAGAATATTTAAATAAATATTTTTAATTAAAAATTTAATCATTAACGGAAATTTAAATAAATTATTAAAAATTTCCTTCATTTTTTTTTAATTTTCTAAATTTGTAAATGACATTTCTTTATTTTCAATTTCCACCTGTTTTACTTGAATAACTAAAAAAGTTAGTTAACAAATTAATTTTAAAAATTATTTAAAAATAATTAATTAACAAAATTAATAAATAATTTTAATAACTAAATTATATACCAAAAAAGCTGCCGGAAAACAAATAAAAATCAGACTGGAAAACGAGTAAATACATACATATGTATTAGAGTTTCACCGGAAGTTCCGGTTCCGGTTCCGGTTCCGGAAAGTTCCGGTGTTTTTTTGGTTCCGGTTCCGGTTCCGGGAACCGGAACTCAAATTGGTTCCGGTTCCGGTTCCGGCTCCGGTTTTCAAATCGGTTCCGGGCAAACCGGAACTTTTTTACATCCCTAAAGATTGATTTTTTTAGAAAAATTAATAAACTACTCGTACTCTCATGCTTGTGTATTAAAAAAAATCGAAAGAAATATGTTTATTTTCTGTCAATTGACCTAATATAAACGGGTGGTTAATGTGTTAGATATCACCCTTGGCGTGAATGATTTAAAGATGGGTTCGCTTCCGAGGCATAGGACAATTAATCTGCATGTTTTTCTTTCCTTAAAAACTTATTTTATAAGTTTATAATTTTGTTTTTAAAATTATTTTATTTTTACATGGAGTAATTGTGGTTTTTTGGCCCTCTAAATTTCTTAAAATTTTTAGTTTGACTTATAAATAGTGAATTTTTTTGCTTATGGCCTTCATAAATTTTCAAAAATTTCGCCTGCGGCGCTGAAAACGGAAGAAATTTGGCTTTTTGTCCTCACAGATTCTCAAAATTTTTTGCCTGCGGCGCTTAAAAAGAAGTTGAATGTTATATCGGAGGATTTGGATGGATTAATTTGGATTTTGATTATATCATGATTTCAAATGGTCATAGGTAATATCGTGGATTTGGGTGTGATATCGAGAAATTGAGTAGGTAGATATGGGATTTTCTTGCAATTCAAAACCTTTTTATCGCCCGATATCAAACAGTTATATCCGACAAATCCGTTTATACACTACTCTCTAATCCACATATATCACTTAACGACGACAAATTTTCGGCTCGGTTTTGGTTAACCAAGTTTCTATTCGGTTAGACGGTTCGGTTTCGGTAAACCGAAAAATTTGGCGAAACCTAAAACCCAAATCAAAATGAAAATTTTTTAAAATTTGCTAGCAAAAAAATTTTTTTTAAAGTTCCGGTTCCGGTTCCGGTTCCGGGCCGGAACTTAGAAAAGTTCCGGTTCCGGTTCCGGGAACCGGAACTTAAATTGGATCCGGTTCCGGTTCCGGTTCCGGTCAAAATTTCGGTTCCGGTGAAACACTAATATGTATTATTAAATTTAAATTAAAATTTTAAAGACAATTTTTGAATTTAATTTTCTTTTAGTTTTTCCCTGAGACTCGTTTTAAATTAAATTTCACTTAAATTTATCAATTAGATAAATTAGAGAGATTATAGATATTTATATATAGATATTTATAGATATTTATCAATTTTATCAGTTTAGTGCAGTTTTATAAGAATAAAAATAAGTAATTATTAAATTATTTTTTACAGAATAATACCGACACAAAATAAAAATTTATATTTTATTTTTTTTGCATGGAATTTTTGAATTTTAAGCAAAAATAAAAATTTCAAAAAAGTTTTTAAGAAACATTGAATTAATTAAAAATACAAAAATTGCAAAAATATTCTAAAAATAAAAAATTAATTAATTAATTAAAATATAAATACAAATTTTTGAATTCACATCTATTCTAAGACAGATTTAATTAAATTTTTTTATTTTAAATTCATTTTTAGAATTAAATTTTATTTTTATTTAAATTAAAAATATCCATGGACTCTTTAAACAATCAAACACTAAATGTTTTAAATGATAACTATCCAAATCATGTTGTGAGTATTTTAAAATAATTATTTTAATTAAATAAATTATTTTTTAGTTATATACACAATATAAAAATGCAGGCTCAAATTCAACATTTATTGGACTTTCATTATTGTTGAATGCTATTGGGGTGCCTGGAATTGCTTCAAATTTACTTTTAATTTTTGTAACAATTCGAGACAAGTATTTTTATTTTGAAGATTTTTTTAAATTAAAAATTTAGAAATTTGAGAGGGCCAACAAATTATTTATTGGCTTTAACTGCTCTTTTTGAAATTCTCCACCAATCAGGACATTTTCTTTTCTTAGCGATCTCAATTAGTGGAATTAATTTAATTGACTATTCCACAGCTATTAAATTCCAATTACATTCAGTTTTTGGTTTGGCAGCAGCTCAGACTATAATGTGTTCAACAGCTGCTGACAGACTTTTATCTGTTCTGTTCCCAATTAAATATAATCAACTAAATATTCGCCCTTATTTATTTGTCCACACATTGTTAGCTTTCTCTAGTGGAATTTGGATGTCAATAAATGCTATTAATTTATCCAACAAATACCCAACACTTCCCGTTACTGGACGTGTCGGGGATTTGTTAGTTTTAGATATGGAGATAATGCTTCAGTTTATTATGCTTCTTTGTGCAATTAATGTAATATTTTATGTTCTCGTTTGGGTAGTTGTTCGTTGCTTTTATCCATGTAAAAAGATTTTTTTAATAAATCTATCAAGTAAAAAAAATTTTTTAAGCAAATACCGATATCGGTGTTGAGTCAGACAGTCAATCACGTCTTCTTAAATCTCTCGTTCTTATAATTACAATAGTTATTGGGGGTTTTGTAATTAATAGTGTTTGTCGTTTAATTGTTAATCGGTTCTTTAATTTAAATGATATACAGGTAAATATTTTTAAAAAATATACATAAAAATATTTTATTAAAATTCAGAATTGGTATGTAAGTGTATTAGGTGGACTTTTCTTAAATATTGGTGCATCTGCCGAAACTCCAACACTTTATATTTTTAGGTTTTTCTTTTAAAAATAATTTTAGAAAAAAATAATTTTTATATTTTCAGTAGTGTTTATCACAAATCTATCAACAAACAAATAAAATATTTATTTTGCAAAAAATCTCAAAATAATGTTATTTCTGTCGTCCCTTATATTCACAATAATAATAGTAGCAAAGAGGGAATGATTGGAAATAAATTATCAAACAAAAATATTTTAAATAAACAAATTATTATTAAAAATTGTGTAAATAATTCTTTAACAAAAAATATAAAATATTAAAAATATTTTTTAAAAAATTATTCTAAAATATTATTTTTGTATTTTAAATCATTTTTTTGATTAATTTGCACATTACTATTAGAGACGGGATTGGGAGTGTCGTATGAGATATCTCGAGAGAATCCTGATAACTAAGATTTTTGACTGATATCTCGTCTCAGTCCTATCTCTACAATTTCTGATAATTTTATTTAATTAACTATAAAAAAGTATTTATTAATTAAATATTCATTATTCTGATTTTATTTAATTGTTTATAAAAAAGTATTTAAATATTTTTTCTTTAATTTCATTTATTATTCAAAATTTTTTTCTAATTTGGCATTAATAATTAGATTATTATGCATACTAGCATTTGCCCTTTATTTGATAGACAATTAAGGACAGGTGAAAGTTAAATGTCAGCCTTTCTAAAAAAAATAATTTTATTAAAATTAAATAAAATTAAATAATTAATTGCTAATTCTAAAGTTAATTTAATTACAAATTATTTAAAAGTATTTAATAATATTAAACCCTTCTATTCATCGCCTAAACCTTACTTTTATTTAAATAATTTATCTGAATGAATATCTACATTGATTCTTCAATAAATCAAACGACATTATTAAATAATTATGAAGTTCATATTGTTAGTATTTTTTATTAAATTTAAAAATAAAAAAAATGTATTCAATAAAACTAGGGGTGCTATCGTATTTATTTTGGAAGTACAGTGCTTGAAAATCGACCTTAGTACTTGGGAAATTTAAAAAAAAATTACTTATGTGTAAGTATGTACTTACAAATGGACTTTTTGTTTAAAAAATTAAATTTAACTTTAAAATTTTTAAAATTGTCGCCTGCGGCGCTGAATAAGTGAATTTTCTGACGCCTTTGGCGCCAGAAAAAATATCTGAAAAAAAATTTGTAGTGTACTTATATTTGAATAATTTTGATTTTTTGGGTTTATATGAATTGTTACCCGCTTTAATTAATATAAAATTAAAATCAGCCCGATTGATTCGGCTAAGTCAAAAAATTCGAAAATTTAGGGTGAGGTTATGGTTATGTGGAGCAGTGTACTTATAAATTTTATACTTCAACTTAACCTTTTCTCGTTAGCAGCTCTGAATAAAACAAAAAAATATTAAAATTTAATTTACTAGCATGGATTTTTGTTTTAAATAAAACAAATTTTTATTTAATTTTCCTAAGATTTTGTTTTTATAAATATGTATTATTCCAATCCTTCTCTAAAATTTAATAAAAATTTTGTTGAAGTATTAAACACAAAACTATTCTTATTTTTTAATTTTAAAAAGTTGTTTGAACAATATAAAAATGCTGGTCCAAGTTTCATATTAATTATTTCTGCTGTCCTACTGAATATTATTGGGGTGCCAGGAATTACCTTTAATTTACTTCTTCTTTATGTTACCGTTAAAAACAAGTTTTTATTTATTTTAAAAAATTTTCTAATTAATTGATTTAAAGAAATTTGAGAGGGCCAACAAATTATTTATTGGCTTTAACTGCTTTTTTTGAAATTCTCCATCAATCCGCCCATTTTGTTTTTTTATTTGTTGCTGTCAGTGGAATTAATTTTATTAATTATTCTACAGCTTTAATATTCCAATTACATTCAATTTTTGGTTTAACAGCAGCACAGACAGCAATGTGTTCTACAGCTTTTGACCGTCTTCTCGCTGTTTCATTTTCAATGAAATATGATCAAATAAAAATTCGCCCTTATTTGTTTGTCCACACTTTTGTTGCTTTTTCTAGTGGAATTTGGATGTCAATAAATGCTATTTTATTTGCAAATAAATATCCTTCAATTAAAGTTACGGGAAATATGAGTGACCTTTTAATTTTGGATATGCATATCCTCCATTTATTTATGATGTCCCTTTGTTCATTAAATGTTATAATTTATTTACTTGTTTGGGTAGTTGTTTGTTTTCATCAATCAAGTAATTTAAATTATGAATTGAATTTGAAATTAAATTTTATTTAAGCAAATAATATTAACGGAGCTCAATCTGATATTCAATCTCGTCTATTAAAATCTCTAATTCTTATATTTTCAATCGTTATCGGCGGTTTTGTTTGTGGCACTATTTTGCGTCCAATTATTAATATTTTTATAATTCTTAATAATATACAAGTAAATTAATTAAATATTTTTTAAAAGAAAAAATTTTTTAGACATGGTATGTTAAAGTTTTTGAAGGTATTTTAACAAATATTGGAGCTTCTGCAGAAACTCCTACACTTTATATTTTTAGGTTATAATTTAATTTAAAATAAAAATAATTATTTTTAATTTTAGTAGTTTATATCGAGAAGCTTTTAATAAAGAATTAAAGAAAATATTTTGTAAAAATTATAATAAAAATAATGTAGTTAATGTTATTCCTGCTTTGGTTATCTCTAATTAATTGATGATTAAGAAAATTTCTTCAAAAGCATATTAAAAATGTAAACTAAAATATTTTTTGGAAATACATACCTCATTTTTGTATATATGTATATAATTTCGTTTTTATTAATCGAGTAAATATTGTAAATAATTTTAAATATATTTCGGATAATTTTTTTTTGTTTTTCTACTAGAAATTGCCACAGTCGGATCTCACATTTACATTCAGAACCAAATAAACTTAACTGTAATTACAATTTCTTCGGCCTCGAAGGGTTGTGTTCTTTATCCGTTCTTTTTTCTTTAATAATATAGGTAAACTAGGAAAGGATAATCCTAAATTCATCTTTAACTACATAAACATATTATGGCTAAACACAAAATTTTAATTTTTCTTAATCTGAATAAATTTGTTAAATAATTTAAATTAAAAAAATAATTTTTAATCAAAATACTTTTATATATCGAAAAATCAGTGAAAATTAAATTAATTTAAATTTAAAAATTGTTTTTTAAAGCTGTTCTGAAAAAAAATTTTACTTCAAAATAATTCACATCTCATATTTTTAATGAATATTCTAAAAAATAATTAAATTTAAAAAGTAATTTATTAAGATTTATATTTAATTAAAAAAAAGTAAAAATATTTTTAATTTACCAATTTTTTCGATTGACCAGATTCGGGTTTAGGTGAATCTAATAAATCTGAGGGAATAAGATAGCTAAGATCTTCATCTTGAATATCGTCATTATTAGGTTCAATATTAAACGAACTACTAGCCTCTTCTTGGTCCAAATTATTCTTATGAACGTTTGAGAGATGGTGCAAAACTGTTTTTAAATGAGCAATATTTATAGGTAAAATTAATGGTTAGAATTTCTGAATGTTAAGGAAAGCTTTCCCTCTTTTTTAGAAACAGGAGATAATATTAGTATTATAAATAGAGAGAGAGAACCCGTACGAGACATCTCAAAAATCTCGATTTAATAACCGAAATTTTTGCTAAGTCCGTTCTCTCTAATTATAAATATCATAAAGAAAATGTCAAATATCTATGATATTTCTACCTTTAAAATTAAATATTTCTTTTGGAGAGGATGGTTGGGATTTTCCTTCAAAAGTATTTTTGTTGTCTCTAAATATAATTGGGAATATAAAAAATAATAATTAATATCAAACTTATCATCATTTGTTGATTGATTATCTTCATTTACTGATTTTTCTTTAATTTGATTAATAGGAATATATGGGTGTGCTCTTGTGCTCAACTCTCCTGGGACTTTGTGAAAATATTTTACTGTATGGTAGGGTGGCTTTAGGTTTTGATTATATTGAGTGTGGTGGTTATTGTGAAAAAGTGGCTGATGATTCAAATGTCCCGTAGCATTTAGATCAGTTGAAAGGTTATTGTCTTCACTCTTAATTAAAAGTTGCGGAAATGTAGAAGGTTAACGGGAAAGTATTTGTAATTTTGAAAAAATTTTTAAGGTAATAATTTTAATTTTATATCACTTAAAAGTTTAAAATAACACATGACTTTTACATATGTGTATTTTTAAATATGTAAATAATATTTAATTATTTAAGTATATCTCACCTCTATTGTAGATGAAGTACTTTCCACACTAAAAATAATTAATTTAGGAGATTTTTTAAATAAATTTACAAATAATTGTTTGGAGATAGCATTTCTTTTGTTAATTGTTTAGAATTATTTTGTTGAAAATCTTTTAAATCAAAAGATTTAGCATTTGGATTGAGTTTATGCTTCTTAATAAATTAAAAATTAAATTATTTCAATTAAAATAATTATTTTAAAAAATTACCCCTTTCAAATTAACACTTTCATTATTTTGAATATAATTAAAAAATAAAATAAAAATTAAACAAAATTTTTGTTTTTTCATAATAAAACTTTTCAGTTTTTGTTTTTATAAATTTCTAGATTTAATAAATTATTTAAAAAATATTTTTTCTGATTTTTGAGAAATTAAATATTATACTACCTATTTAATTTTATATTTTAATTTATTAAAATTAAAATAAGTTTTTAAAATTATTGTCAAATAAACATTTGTAAAGAAAGAATGAAAGTAAATAAAAGTATTTAAAAAAGGCAGGTGAATGTCCTTATTTTATGTCTACATAAAGGATGCTTTGCGTCTTGCGATAAACAAAATTTCGCGCGACTTTTCTCTCCCTTTTCTCCATAATCTCTAATTAGACCTGCGATTTTTATTTATTTAGCATTGAATCACATGAAAAAGTCAATTAATTACTCAATTTATTGAGTGATTGTGAAAGACTTTGTTTAAAAAATTAAATTATTTAAATTTTATAACAAAAACTTTAGTTAATTTCAAGGAAAGTTATAAACTCGTTAGATATAAGATGAAGTAAGCTAAAAAATTAGAGAGGAGACGGGATTCAACTGTAGTACATATGTATCTTTAAAAAATAGAATGAATTTATTCTAATTGTAGGTCGATGAAAAGTGTATCTTTTAATAAACAGTTTTTTTCAAGTTTATATGTATATTTTTTGTTCTTCAAAATTTTATAATTAAATTGTACATATTTACGTGAAAATAAATTTTATATTTAGTATATAAAAATGACAAATTAAGAGAATATTTAAATATATTCTCTGGCTAAATTTTGAACAACGGAGTTAAAATTATTATTTGTTGGTTGTGGAGCAACTACAGCTGTTCGTAAATTTAAAATATGGACTGGCGAAACACCCGGATTTCCATCTCCATAACTTCCCACATATGAATGTAAAATATGAGGAAATTGTTTTGCATATGCTTGTCGATATTCATAACTTAAAAATTAAATTTTAAAGAAAAAAAATATTTTAAAAAAATACCTAAGCAGAAAAAGTACAGGCCCATTAGCTGCCATTGCACAAATTGGAAGAAATGAAAATGAAAAAGTTGTGTAAATTAATAATTGAGGAGATAAACCAATTAAGGGCAATAAAAGCCTTACAATACTATTTAATACCCAACAAACAATAATTAAACAAGTTAAAGTTGTTAATGAACGAAGAATACGGCGAGTAAAAATTGAAGTAGTTTGGGCTAGAAAAAAAAATAAAATATTTTTAAAATAAACGAATAAATATAATTTTTTGTTTAAATTATCTGTAATCTTAAGGGGATAAAAAGGGAATAAAAATAAATTTAAAAAATTTTTAGAGTAGATAGGGGATGTATTTTAATTTTAATTTAAAAAAGTATATGTTTACAAAGTTTGTTTTGATATATTTTGAAAACAATCCACAGAATTATATATTCAAACAATAAAATAATATTTGCAAATAAATTCACAAAATAAAGAAATTTTCCTCTTTCGCCTTGCTGAACTTCTCCAGGGGATGAACAAATTACATGAACATATGGATGTTCAGTAGATATTAAAAAAAGTTGCCAAATTTGAAAACATGAATAAATTATACATGCAAACATTAATGAAAATAAATATTTGAAGGGGCGAGATTGGAGATTCCTTAAATTGAAGAAAAAATTAATTAAGATAAAAGAAAATGGAAGTAAAGAAAAAATTTGAATTTAATTTCTCTCTCGTTCATTAATATTTAAAAAATTAATTTTTATCTAAAATTTACATCCAAAAAGAAGCAAATAATATATTTATAACTCTATCAAAGCCAATAGCCAACATTGTTGCCAAAGTTAAATTTCCAAAAAATGCCGGCAAAAATTGTAAATAAAAGCAAGTATTCACTTTAATAAAATTAATTCCGCTAATCGCAATAATTAACCCAATAGACAATGTTGGTTCAAATATAGCTGTACATAAAGCATTTGTAGCTATTAATATATTACAAGTACTATGTAATGATCTGAATTTTTAAATAAATTATTTTTTAAAAGAAAAAGGTAAAAGTCCAATATTTATTTATTCTACAGGTGTTATTATGTAATTGTAACATTCACCTGTGACAATACTTTTGTGTAACATTGTATGTACTTTTAATTTAATTATTTAATTAGAAAATTCAAAAAAAAAGGAAGCAAAGAAAAAATTCGAATAATAAATTATTTTTCAATATTTTTTGACGAAAAATATTAACTATTATGTGATAACCCCTAAAGAATAAATTCTAATATTTATTTAAAACCAACAAAATTTCAAAAAAATATTAAATTTACTTTGTTCTTATAGTTATATAAACTAAAGACAAATTAAGTAGACAACCAAACATAGAAACTATCCAACGAACAGTAATTAACATTACAAAAGTAAAAGGAAGTCCAGTTTCTTTAAAATTTTGATAAAACTATAAAATAAATAATTTGAAAAATATTATTTTAAATTAAAAAACATACTAAATTTGTAGTACCTTCGTTGTAACTCATTTTACAATATTTATTTTAACTATGTAGATTAGTGTTGTGGAGATTTCTGGAGATTCTTGGAGATTTTTTTCTTTTAAATAATTATAATTTGTGTCGATTTTTATGTTTAAATTTAAATTTATTTCTAAAGAAATAATAAAAAAAAATATTTAGATAAATTATGAAAATTATTTAAAAAAATTTTTTCTAGTCAATCCCTCAGAGAATTTAAGTTACATTTTACAAAATATTTTTTTAATATTTAATGAAAAAATGAGTAATTAATTATTAAAATTAACCTTTTGAATTTAAATAAAATCTTAAACCTTTGGGGAATTAAAAATATCTGAATAAAATTTTGGTTGTCAGGGATTGTTCTAAGAAAATTTATTTAAAAAATTTATTTATTTAATTTTATTTATTAATTTTATTTAAAAAAAGGAAATAAAAATTGTTTTAGAAAAAAAATAATTTTTATATTTACTGTGAGAATAATTCAAAATTTTTTAAAATAATTTTTTTGACTTGAAATACAATAAAAAGTAGAAAATAAAAAGATTTTATAGTATACACTGTGGTGCAAAAGTTTATATACACTTTGGAAAATTTTCTTTAATGTACCGTATCTCGAGAAGTCGAAGTTTTATCGAGATAA